TCTGCAGTAATCAATACGACCGTATGAATCAAACCCCATATTTACATGGCCCTGAGCTCTCGTTTGGTAACGATTATGTATCGAATAATTACGAATCGGTCGCCTTCGCAACAAGGGAAGACTATTAGCAGTGTCTCCCTTCCCTCCCGACACACAAACAGTGCACATTATCGCGGCCATCAAAATAGAAGCAAACACAAAGGTGGAGCCCGCCCAGGTAAGCAAACACCATGTCTAGAAGCCAAGAGACATCTCACAAGACGGACTTTCAATGATATCCTGAAAATATTTCATCTTTGTGAACAAAATTAATGTCAATATAAAATATTAATCGGGATGAGATTACATTAATTTGACACTGTTGGTTTATTAACATAAGTGTAATATTGTGTCAAGTGGCACATTCAACTACGGACAAATACTAGTACAACGAAGTCTTTGTTATCGTATTTCTATAAATGTGAGGGCTGTGGTAGGGATTTGAAAGATGCTATTGATCAGTTTAATGTCATGGTTTTGATATTCTTATTCTCTAAGTTTGTTTGTTGTTTAACGCCAACATTATCCCAGCTATACGGCGGCAGTGATTAGATAGTCGAGTCGCAAACGGACAACCCAGTGATTGACATCATGAGCATCGATCTACACAATTGGGATACTATGACATGAGTCAACCAAGTCAGCGAGCCTGACCACCCGATCCCGTTATAGTCGCCTCTTACGACAGGCATAGTCACCTCTTACGACAAGCATGGGTTGCTGAAGACCTATTCTACCCCGAATCTTCACGGGTTTATTGACAAAGAGTTGTCAAGCAAAAGTGACCGACGATGGACAAGCAATAAACAGCCTTACTTTCACATATATAGATAAACATGGGACATAAATTGCATACCTAATAACTAATTATTATAATGAAGACAATCACACACAAACACGGGGTAGATGATAGTCGGTTGTTAGAATATTTCATTAAAAGAGTTTTAGGCATAATATGTTAGATATTCTTAAGCAGTATCACGCATATGGCAGTTGAGCCATTTCTGAGCATGCCTGAAGTAATAACATACATATATATATATATATATATATATATATATATATATATATATATATATATATATGGCTTGCTGTTATATATATATACACACAATCACGTGTTACTTCGAGTGCACATTTCATAACTTTCGCTCTTCATATACAATTTCCGTATTTATTACTGTAGCTACGGTTCAACAGATATAATAGTCTAATATAAATCTTTCAAAATCACTCAACATAAGTTTAGAAGCGTATGTTTGATCTACTTATACTAACTATTAAATGTGCGACTGCTTACAGCAGAGCAGGGGGCACGGGTGGCCTAGTCATCTAAGGCGCCGCGATTCGCTGTGCAGAGTTGCGTCCCTTCGACACGCCAGAAACCAATGATTGTGGGTTCGAATCCCGGTTTGCCCCGATTATGTTTCTAGGTTTGTCAGCACCATACCCGTGCTCGTGGGTTTCACCGAAGTGATAAACGTCTGAGACCTGCATCACTTCGGGCTTTCCTCCCACATTACGCTGACACGCCGTGATATAACTGGAATACTGTAAAAAGCGGCGTTAAACGCAACTCACTCACTACAGCAGAGCAAATGACTACCCTCGTCGGAGCAAGACTACTGAATTGGCGGAGCTTAACTTGTTATTATTGCAATTAATACACGGTTATATTGATATGAAACCAACATTTTGCAGGTTTCACAAAGAATACAGCATGTACAGGTGCGACGTAAGCGGTACAGCAACACGTGTGTTTTCATTGTAGAGCTAGGCTACCTGTAGATACACTCCTTAAAAAAAGAAGACATCCATAGGCTGACTGTGAATGTTTTCACTGTGTTCAATTAAATGTGCATATATCATTTAATTTGATTTACACAAGGATGAAATTTAGCATGGGAAAAGTCACATGTAGACAATGGCAATACTGATTGTCCTGTCACAGGACGTGCCACGACGGGCGCGTTCCGATCAGTTCCTTGTGTGACCACCGCGAGACTGCAGGAATGAGCCTATGGATTCTGTCGTGTAGAATTATTCTCCATTCTTCCTGCAAGGCGTTGGCCAGTTGTGCAAGTGTCTGTGGCGTATGTTGACGCTGATGTACATGTCCACCGAGTTCAACCCACAGATGCTCTATCGGGTCCCTCTGTCAGTTGATTATCGGAAGAAGGTGACGTTGAAGAATTGGCCTGTATGGTGTTGCTCCATCTACACGTTGTCGTCGATGTAAACGTCTTATTACAGGGACAGATGCCGTTCTTCTGGGTCAATTTCCAACATCTCACAGACGATTCCTGATTATTTGGCAATGGCGGATCAAACATTGTTTCTTATCAGATGTCAGAAGCATTGGAACCCAACAACCTGATACTTTCTTCATTGCCAAAGTTGCTATGATAATGGAATGTACTTTCTCCTTGCCTTCCGCAATATGATGCTCGGTCATTCGCCGGTCGGACCACGTGCTGTACTGTACATAATCATATTGGAAATAAATTCAAGGTATATTACATTCAATTCACGATACCTTGTTATACATATCCACACATGAATTACAGATATCATTAATTCGTTTTAGATATCTTTAATTTAATTGGAGATATCTTTAATTCAATTCAAGATATCGTTAATTCTGACCGTTACTGATATCAAAAATCAAATTTAAGATATCATTAATAATTTATAAATTAATATAAATATATTCATCTAACATAGATGAAGCAATACATTTTATTTGAAAGGAGTATAATAGTTGGATTGACCGTCGCGTTGGATGCTCGGTCATTCGCCGGTCGGACCACGTGCTGGATTTCCTTGATGATTTCGGGTGTTGTTGACGTGACAGGCCTTCCGGGACAGGGGTTGCCACCAAGGCTCTTCCTGTCATGCTTAAACACTGCTGCCCACCTCATTTTGTTGGCACATAGGAAGGCATGCTTCACTTGTATTGTCCTCATACATATCTTCATGGATCGCCTTTGGTGCAAACACTTGATCACTGCACTTTCCTCAAGTCTATTTTCCAAAAGGTCACAGACCCTGCTTATTTTATTGACTGAATAGGCTCACGCTTTTATGGATATACCTCCATGACATCATGTAATGTCGACAGCAAAGGATTTCACTATTACAACATTTCTTCTTCTTATCAATCAACCCTAATGTTAGATGTCAACACAGCAGCACGAGTAAAACTGCGCCCTGGTAGAGTTAACTGCAAAATGTCCAGAGAGTCCGATGACATCTTCCCGAGGCAAGCGAGTTTCCACTGGACTTTTATAGTCAGGTAACTTTCTTGCTTCAATGGGAAGATGGCCCGAGGTGTGCATTACCTAAATGTAGGCGTGGCATTGCTCCATTGTGAATTGAAACTGGCCTTTACGAAATTATATACCAGACTGCCGTTGTACAAAACAACCTTAAGGCTACGACTCTCGTAAGTCTATGTTAAGGTATGGGAGTTTTGATCACCTTGGCTCTAAGATCGCTTTGTACAACGGCACCCTGCTCTTTGTTTAGGCGCTAAATGTATAAATGAGGTGTATGTTCTGCTATCCTGTCCATTATACTAGAAGAAAGTTTTTATTGAGGTGGTAACATTTCAATTCATTGTTAGATTGTGCAAAGACGTATATCTATATACGTCTTTGGATTGTGACAAAATGTCTTTAATCTCTTCTCGCCCTAAAACTCTTTGTCATAATAACGATATTGGAGTGAGTGAGTTGGGTTAACGCCGCTTTTAAACCTGTCAACTTAATGTAGGAGGAAAGCCCAAAGTGATGCAGGTCTTAGACGTTTACCACCTTGGTGAAACCAGGCTTCGAAACCACAATCATATAAGGCTGTCGTGGACAAGGGATGCAATTCAGCACCGCGAATTGCGGCTCCTTATACGACTGGGCCACTCGTGCAGAAGATGGCTACATTCTAGCTGACTGAAATAACAAAAGTACTGTCGGAAATGCTAGAAAAGTGCTTACCTACAGTTGAAACTATTACTATTGAAATATCGAATAACTACCGATCTACCTACTTGTAGTTTTAACTATTTCAGTCACAAGGAGTCCTATCGACAAATTTACAGGCGTAATTCAAAGGAAAACGAATTTCCGATTTTTCTAAGTCCAGTGACGGAATTCTGAAATAGACTATATTAACATGCGCATGCGATTCCATTATAATAATAATGTAGCCTTCATAAAACATCTTATGCACAAAAAAGAAGTCAAGTGGAGAAAGTTCTAGATGTGCATCTTTGAAAAAGACAAACTTTCACTGCATGAAAAATAAACAAAAGAAGGCAGGGGTCGTCTCAAAAACAAAACGGGATGTAAAAGGACATTGGACAGCTTTGTTGGTTTGTTGTTTAACGCCACATTCAGCAATATTCCAGCAATATGAAGGTCTGTAAATAATCGAATCTGGACCAGAAAATCCAGTGATTGACATCATGAGACAGCTTTGATAAAGGGTGGTTAGGCGGACAGTGGACAAGTTTTATGAGCAGAAGGTACCCCGACTTGTAGAACTACATTAATTATGGCTCTCCACAAGATGTAACATATTTCACATGGCGATGACAGAGCAGTTGTCAGTGGAAAATATTTCACATTTATTCCGCAAAATTCACGACTATCACAGTCAGGGCTTCCAGATCACACCTAGGTGAATCAGAATCATTCCACTGACTACATGTGGCTACCGTCAGATGGACGAGAAGCACCCATGGCACCATCAGGTAAAGGTAATCGTGTCATTGTTTGGCAGGCCGGGGGCTTAATAATGGATGTGAGCAAGCTTTCGAGGTGAAAACGAAAACTGGTGATTATAATAAGGAAACGATTGGTGATGTATTCATATGTCTTCAGTACGACCAGTGAACGCTTGAAACAGTTAAAGATGCTTCCAGACATTCCTTTGACCAGCCACAATGTTACAAGAAAGTAAGATTATGATATAAATATACTTTATTTACAATTGTAAATTTCAGATAATTACATTCAACATTGAATGCACATACATATCTCAAAACAGTATTGAATTGCATGGTTGTGTTAAATATTTAATAACTTGCACTCGTGAATAGATTTGTATCTACCTAAACCTATATTTAACTTCCTTTACCTGGTAATGTGAATTTGTGAGTGAGCAAAAATATCCAATAAGTACGGTTGAGGAACATTCCAGCTCTTATTTCTTAACAAATAAGGTCCTTGTGATGACTTGATAATCAGTGGGACAGAGAGTCACATGCTTCTGTCTACCAAACATTTCACTTGATGTGTAATAAGAAACAAAGCTGGAAGTAGTATACTGTGGGGATCATACACAGAGTGCACAAACATCTTTACAAACAACTGAACATCAACAAACAAAGCATGGACAGACGGGATCACTATGAATTCACTGGTGTATGTCCAGGCTGAATTCCTCCACTTCCCGGAAGTGTGAACACCACACTGCATTTCTTGCAATTTAGTTTTGAAGTTCATATCATATCACTGTTAATGCTGTCTACTGATGAATAATTATTCAGTATATAATATTTCTCTTGACAAAATCTGAAAATGCAAATATATCGCCTTGCCTGGATACTTAAGAAGCACGTTAACTGGAAACTGAGGTTACCTTTTGTTGTCTTTGTTCACATGTCAATCAAGGAGATTCTTAAACTCCTAACTCTCAATAATGAAATAAAACATTTTAATACTGATAAATTGATTTGCACAGTGCTACACTGCCAACCTTGTTAATACTCCGTAAACTTGCTACATCATTCTACTTTTGATGCAGGTGGAAATAAAGAGTCACTGGATAACAATCTGCAGTATTACTGTACATGTCGTTCATTCAGTTATACGAACAGTAATCACCAAACAAAGATATTCACAAGTTCATAGATATTCAGCTAATGACTTGTCGGTATACATAACAGCAAAAAATCTAACTGGACGGAGTTGAAACTTAGAAATTATTATTCAATGATGAAATCTGCATTTATCTTCATCTGAAAATCCAATGTACATTGTAGTACAATTCACTAAAATAACACGTCAAAGGACACAAATTGACCTCACTTGAGACTTGACAGAAATGTGAATTAAAATATCACGTCCTTTTTGCCAAAAGTAAATAGCTTGAGCTATCTCCATTCCAAAATGGATTATGCCTGATTCTGCATTGACATGAGATGGCGACGGAATGGATGCATGTTTTCAACATGGACACTCTTGAGCGCACTCTTGATTCTCTCCTGATACTCGCGCTCTGCCTGCATGCCTAGTCGATCTTCCTCCTCCCCGCTACGTATCCGAGCATCCCTCATGCGGTTGTTGTGGTCAATCTGGCCTTCCAGGTCATGCTGGTACTGCAGGTTCTGCTGCCAGAGCTTTGCTGCCTTCTCCTGCTCCAGACGTTTGTTCTCCTCGATGATGCGGACCAGCTCCTCCTTTTCCTGCTTGGCCTCGAGCTGCCTCAGCTCATTCTGGGCCACTGTGGAGAGATAAACCATAGGCACATTAAAACAAGAAATACACACTTTGTGGTCCTGTTCCATATTAGCAGATTAAGGTAAGTTGCTACTTATTAAAAATGACTCTTTGAAACAATAAGCATTACTTGTGTGAAAAATGCAGACATAGCAGTTAACCTCTATGTGAAAGCTGTTACTCACATCTCTCCCTGATCTGCAAAGCACGGCCATCAAGTACGTCCTGCAGCAGCTTCTTGCGAGCCAGCCTCTCCAGTTTCCACTGATTCAATCTCTTCTGCCACATCTTCTCCACCTCCTCGCTGATCAAACGCTCCAACTCAATCTCCTTGGCTTTCTCTTCAGCCATCAGTTGCGTCAGGTAGTCACGGTAACGGCGGTCCTCCTCACGAAGTTCACGCTGGATAGGAAATTTGAAGTTTCATCAAACATTAACTTGCATCTCCATGCCCATATCTATAAGCAGCAATAAAGAATAATACCACTACCATGAGGAGATAACTCGTACCTGGATCAGATGATTTGGTCAACATTGATACATGATGCCATTAAATGTTGCATTAATATCATGCTCCAGAATGTGAAACTTGTAGGTGTCTCTTCTCAGTAACATCACCATCAATGTAACTGGCACCCATTCTCCAGTATGCAACTTTAGCCATTAATTCGAAGACTGAGTCAAGTTGAATATTATCTTGTCTAGTAATAAAGGGTTAATATGTTAACACAAAAGTCTGAAATTATTGCCAAGGGACAAATAATTAGCAGATGAAACATATTTCGTACAGACTGATGCCCTCAACCAGTTAACAGCTCAATACAGCACCACCAAATAGATCTGTGCATACCTTCCTCTGCATCTGTTCCATTGCCTCATTGCGCGACTCCTCAAGGAGCTGCTCCAGCATCTTGAGGTCAAAGGCCAGCTGTTCCTGTTCCTCCCTGGCCTTCTTCTTCATCTTCATCTTGAGGGAGAGATCCAGCATGTCCCGAGTCTCCTTCTGCTTCCTGATCTTCTCCAACTGTGCCTGCTGCTCCTCCATCTTCCTCAGTGCAGCCTGTTCTCTCTGTGAGGAGGAACATCAGTGTCTCAACAACGATGGCAAGTGAGTAGCAAGATGGGATATCAATTTTTGTAAGGAGAGGTGAAATGGGGTTTAACGTAGTGTCCAAGATTATTGAACTTATATAGCGGCGTGCATGTACGTGTGTGTGTGTGTATTTGGCTGCTTGTGCTAGTCCGACTGATGCCAATTTATAGTGCTACCCCATGATAGATACCATGCCGCAGTTTAACATGAATACCCCACTCAGACACAGTATACTGATTTCAAGCCGACCAGTCCTTGTTTTAGCCCCCAATACCGAGTGCCAGACAGGGTAACAACAAATACCAATTTTTAACATCTTTTGGTATGATGCATCTGGGGATCGAACACAGGCCTTCCACTCTCCAGGCGGAGGCTCTATCGCTAGACCATGTAGGCGGTCAATCTTTGTAAGGACACAGGTACAGAGATTCAATGACATATCTCAACAGTCTTATGATTGTGAAAAATAAAGGTGGGAAACAAAAAATGTTGAGATTTTTCAATTGTCTTAGCTCGGGCATGACTTAAGTGGTCCTGAGTTATCTTCCTTATATCATGGGGCAAAACATGTATTTCGAACAAGAAGGCACCTAACATAACACAGATGCTCACTCATACATATTGTCATTGCTGAAACAAATGGACAAATAACAGGGGGTTATATTCTGTAAAGGTAAGGCCAGCGCTCGGTACAACTCACCAGCAGCTGTGCCTCTTCATCCTTGAGCAGACGTTCCTCATCTTTCTGCTTCTCCAATGCTGCCATCTGTTTACGTAGAACCTCGAGAACTTCCCTGTTGCGCTCATGCTGCGCTTTGGCCTCGCGTTCCTCACGTTCTGCTTTCTTCAGTCTGTCTTCCTCCCATAGCTGAGCATACATCTGGTCCTGAGCTGCCTTCTCAATCTCGAGCTCCTCTTTGTAGCGGAGTTGATCCAAGCGCTCAGCACACACCTGGTCCTGTTGCCTCTTGGACAGAGTCGACCGGAGTTCCTCGCAATGGTTCCTGCACAGACAGCATCAGTGGTGTAGAAACTAGAATAGTAGATTCTCACACAAAGCCATCTGCTCAAAGTTAGAAGTATCCTTTGGTCATGTGAACATTTCTACAGTATTATTCTTTTAATTACTTGGTTTCTGAATCCACCATTCCAGTTTTCACAAATGTGGCATAAAATTATGACATCTATATTTCCCTGCAGAGTTTGGTTACGAATATGCAAAATGAAAAGTGTGAAAATGTAGCCCTTCGACTTGTCATTAAAAATCACTATATCTCCTTTCATTAGAACCGCTGGTCTAGCTTGTCTACTTCACTGTACACTCGATCTCACCTGAACTGCTGGTCTAGCTTGTCTACTTCACTGTACACTCAGTCTCACCTGAACTGCTGGTCTAGCTTGTCTACTTCACTGTACACTGATCTCACCTGAACTGCTGGTCTAGCTTGTCTACTCCACTGTACACTCAGTCTCACCTGAACTGCTGGTCTAGCTTGTCTACTTCACTGTACACTCAGTCTCACCTGAACTGCTGGTCTAGCTTGTCTACTTCACTGTACACTCGATCTCACCTGAACTGCTGGTCTAGCTTGTCTACTTCACTGTACACTCGATCTCACCTGAACTGCTGGTCTAGCTTGTCTACTTCACTGTACACTCATTCTCACCTGAACTGCTGGTCTAGCTTGTCTTGCACCAGTTGTAGTCGTTCTCCTTCACGCTTGTCCTTCAGAAACTTGGCCCGCTCTCTCATCTTGGCTTGTCTCTCAATAGTTGTCTCCTCTTTTGCTGTCATCTCCTCCAGGTAATGTTGTTCCTCATTCCTCAACATTGTTCGCAACCTACATACATTCACAACAGGTGATGAGAAACACATATGACATGAAGGACAGAAAAAGCACAAACACAAACCATGATAATTAGCACTTCCGTCACAATAACTACATCACCTACAGTATAAACTCACTGACAAAAGAAACGTGAGTACCATACATGTTGGTTAATATATGAAGAATTACTCAAATACAAGAGATATTAGATTGGTTCGATGCACAAACAAACATACTGGTATGTTGTGTGAATCAACTCATGAACTCATCACATGTGACGTCACAGACCCATGAATCAAGATGCACCATTTGTCTCACGCAGGATCAGGGTGTAAAGCTTGGAAATCATGTGCAGCATATTGTGATAAGAATGAAGACACTCTGTTGTAACATTTGACTGATTGTTAGTTTTGTTATTAAGTGGTTCACATTGGGAACATCTCTTCTGAATGTCCATACTTCTCAATGTGTTCCTATGGTTCTCGTTTCTTTTAGCAGTGAGTATATATGTATTAATTAAACTTTATTGTACCATAGTTTACTGACCATCATGCAATCTACAAGTTTTATAAATTAATGGATTCAAATCATATGCAGATAGAACGTACTATTCTGTTTCTGATAAAACTCTGGTATAAAATGCTGTCTGCATAAGGCAAATCAGCAAATGACTGCCAAAGCAAAGATCCATGCCTTTGGTGTACAATGACCTGTAATTCACCAGATCACTGAGTCTGACCACCCGATCCTCCTATGTTGGCTGTTACGACATGCATGGGATAGTGGAGGCCTGTTCATCCTGGGAGTACCCAAAGAGTGACAATTAAATGAATTAATAAGCTATGTAACCAGCTTCATCATGCTCTCTATTTACATGCCTTTCATTGCCAATTGTAGAGCAGTCAAGCCTCAACAGTAATTCCTACAGATAAACAAAAAAAACCAGATAATTTATTATACCTCTCTCTCCTGTCTTCAACACTGAATTCATTTGCCTGCATCAATCCTTCAACCCTCCTTTTCACTGTGTTTAGCTGTATTTTTTTATCAGTCCATCTTTCCCATTCATTCTTCAAATCACAGACTTCCATATAACTTGTCATATCTTGATGCTCTCTCTGTTTTTCCTCCTGTTTCCTTCTTTCAAGAATCAGATACTCTGGAGGGCGAACATTTGGTGGTCTGGCTTTCTGTCAAACAAGGAAGAAAATTAACCTCAAATCAGTGCATCAGACTCTTTTTGTAATAGTTTTGTTTTGCATAACAGCACATTGACCAAACAAATCTGTAAACAAGAATACAACGTGAAACGGTTGTGTTAAATAACATCCAGGAGCGTCCAGGAACCTTAAGAAGAATGATACTAAATTATAAAGTTTTATTTAAACTAATTCTTCTATTGATACTATTAAGGCAGCCATTAATGTTCATGACATGAGTACTATTAAAAATATAATTTTGCTCACTTCAATAAGATAACAGACCCATAAAATTGGTTAGCTCCCATTCATGCAAATATATTCGTGGCGACTTCATTTCAACGAAAAGAGGATTAAAACTACAGAGAGAATCACTCTAAGCCAGTAGTAATTTCAAGGAAAACATAAGTAGGATGTTAAAATCCTGTTTGCTATCATGACATATTTAATCACATATGAAAGTTAGGAACTATTCTGTAAACAAGTGAAGAGAAACAAAATAAGTATTTTTTGTTTTCACTTTAAACACATGGACCATTGAGATGAAGAATGGAGAAATAAACGTTGATCATGAAGACTGATGCAGTACTGCAGATATTTGTTGGTTAAGATTCCATCATAATAAAGCACTCAAATGGTTGTTGATTCATATTCCTTTTCCCATATTGAGCATTTTGGGTATTTCTTTCTTTGTGGCACAATCGTTTTGGCTTTTTTTATATCTTATCTTTGGTGATTAATATTTATCCACAAAAGAACATAAAAGCTTCGGCACTTTGTTAGTTTATGGATTGAAACTTACAATTGCTACTGATGCCGGTGTAGGCCCGGTAACTTCCCGGGTTCTCCGTGGTCTTGAGATCATCATTTTGATGTCACGTCCTTGTTAGGCAATGCCTAACTTTGGGTGTAATAATTTACCGCTCTCGCGATACAAGTATCGGCAACGGTCACACAGAAATTGATAAATGGTCCGATAAAGGTAAGGAATCTACGGCGACATCTAACAGCAACAGGTATAAGCCAAATACAAGGTTGTAATTTCTAGCTTACTGTCACCAGACAATATAATCCTCGTTGTTTGGGGTTTGTGTACTAAGGAAATGACGTCACATTGCTAAGGAAGTGATACACGAGATTTAACGAGACAAAGACACACAGTTGCCTCCCTTGGAAGTATGGCGCAAAATATGAAAACTTAAGAGTTAATGATCGTCGGTTGGGTCTAATAACACAGAGGACAATCCACGAAGTTACTTTGTACCAGTTGGATAAAAGGCACTGCGCGTTCAAGCCTAGCAGGTAGAAGAACAAGACTGCTTTGTCACGTTTCTTTGCTCATTTCGCTAACTTCTTTCCAGGCAACCTACATTGCACAAGGTTTAGTCAGCAGGTAGAGCGTGTTGTTTACAAGATTAATCATGTTGACGCCCTGCTCCATGACTGTGGAATATTAGTTACTATGTGATTCAATTATAAATCTCTTAATCAGCTGTTAATAAATCTAGATGATGAAAGTAAATGTAATAAACATTTTGGGCCTAATAGTAAAACAATGTCTATAACTTCTAGGCAGAGCTCCAGATAAGCTTTTGGTGTTTTAGGTATTTTACCCATGCATTTTAAAATCATTGGGTATCAGTAATTCTATCTGGGTATTCAAATTTCGGTTACCCACTAGTTTTTACACATGTGGGTATGAAAGTTAAATATTTAAAAACACTATTCATTTAGTCCCTGCAAACTGGTGTTGTGTGGGTTTGAGAGCTTTATAGGACTCAAAAATACCACGATACTTCCACAAGAAATTGTGATGGCAAATGATCATGATGTAACTGTCATCGTCGAGTTTAGCAAGGTTGACAGAATGCCCGTTTATAATTTCAAAATAAGTTGCTGATTTGCTATCGAATACGCAGGGTTACTTCATAATATTTTGATGATACGCACAGGTTTTATTTTTGTAGCGTATCTGTAATGTTCGTTGTGTATTTGATACGCTTGGATTATATTTTACTGCATATTTCTGCATTTCTGATGCGTATTTTGCGCAGCTTATCTGGAGCTCTGTCTAGGTCGACTTTACTGGCTTTCATTTGTATCTAATCTCCGATATTGTTTTTTTAGTTCATCTTATAAGTCTATGATCTATTTTACAGATGGATTCAACCACACTCATAGATTTGGCTCATCATTTTAACGCCAAGCTATCGAACCTACACACTGCATATGACCTGACGGAGGCCAAACATGACCCCTCCTGCCAGAAGTTGCTGGTGTCTATTGGGAAGGAGCTGGAAGGTTTGGAAGGTATCCTGACACAGATGAAAGGTGAACTGCAGAAGGGGAAGGAAGCCGTTTCAACAGCACAGGTTGTCACTATGATCAACAGCTTCAATACATTTCTTTTTCACCCATTAGTTTTGAGGCTGGGTCTGGCATGATTAAAACTCTGGTTGGGTGGGTACTGAGTAGGATCTGGGTGCACACGTAACTACCCGGACTCGTGGTTAGTCAGGTGATATATTGTTTATTGACCCAAAACATCTAGACCTCCCTGGTTACACTACAAGGTGCTAATGTCGGTATTTCTTTCTGACTTAGCACGCATTCCTTTTGACTTTTATATGTTTGAATAAAGATGAAGCTTCGGTCAACTTCAGTGTGTACATGACCAGATTGTTTTATGTTTGTATCTAAATACCAGGGCTCCGTTCAAACAATTCTCAATCAGACATTTTGTCCACATTTCTTGAGACCTACAGCAGGTGCCCGGGTTGTAAAGTTGGACCTGTCCCAGCCCTATTTAGCCCCATTGTAATCTAACTTAAGCATTTTTAGGATTGCAGATGGAAGTTGGGCATTTGGTACATCAGAGAAACGTGCACTAAAGAAATTTATTTGTTTCATTATTTGGCACTTGCCGGTCTATATGACAGTTTAAGAGGCTTAGTGGTGCACAAGGTCAGTGTTAATACTGTCATGCACTGCAATCGATGAAAGGACCAATAATAGCAAATTCGTAGTTGCACTGAATGTAATGTTAAAATCATGTTGATATACCTAAGTTAAAAAAATAAGGCCTTTTGACAAAATACCATTTTCCACGAATCTGCCTGCAAAGCCACTTCAAGGCACTTGTATTGTATCCTAAATAGATACCAAGATTAACCATGTTAACAGTTGCATTACTATGTTAATATATATCAAGAGAAGTAGAGACACTTTAAAGATTTCATAGCTGTGTTTTCAACCTGTGGTGGTACTATTTCATAATTTGTGAATGTGTTGATTTCAGGAATTAAAAGTAACATACCAAAATGTGATAGAGGATTTGAAGTACACCATAGAGCACCTGCCAGCTCGACTCCCCAACAAACCAGTACCAGGCCAACACATGTGAGAATTGGGAGTTATGATGATGCTTCGGGATACATAATAAATGATGGTGTTTTGACATTTTCATAACCTAACCATGCTAACACTTTAAGAACGTGTCACATCAAACATGTTACATGAGAAATACAATACCCAACCTTTATTTCTGCTTGATATTTTTTTGGGAAGTGTTCCAGTGTACCTCTCCTTTTACAGTTAGTCTTGAGAGAAATTTGGCAACAATCTGCTTTATGTTTGGAAAAGTATTTACATATTTATTCTTGTGGAAGTTTGTAATTCTGGGGTAACATCTATCTTTACAAAAATGCTTTAATTCTGATAAAAAAATTATGAAATTAGAACCTAGTTGTTTTCTCTGAATATTGTTATCTGACATTCACTTTACAAAGTCTGTTGTTCATTTGTAATTTGCGTTTGTGTTCTTCAGTAATTTGAATTCTAAACCTAACAAGATGGGGAATGGATCAACATCTGCTGTCAAACACAAGCTGGTTGAGGTGGAGAGGCCAGTGAAGGAGGTTGTCTATTGCCCACCTATAGAATACCTCACTGTGGATGAATTTGACACTGTGCCCAAGTACGTGTGAACTGTGAATACTCTGCTGCCCTTTTGTCATTGTGCTGGTAGCGTGTGTAGATTATCAGCTGTAGATGTTCCTCTTCCCGAGGCAAGGGAGTTAACTGACTATAAAAGTCCAAATAAGGTTGGAGTTATGGAGTTATATTTTGGCTGGACTAACAAGTCTATGCATAGTCCAACCAAAATTGCGTAACGAAATCGACATCTGGCTTGTAAACTGCTGTGCAGTTTTCGGTCAATTGCAGGATTTGCAAAGCATGTGTACCGTCAACTTAGCGTCGACAGATATTTTCTTTTCCTGTTTTAAATCAAGGTGCTCACATGATTTGATGCACTTCGCAAAGTAAGACCCGTTTTATTACAATATAGATCTTGATTATCGATCAGATCGTCTTCACTGGGCACCGTCATTTCATTTGAAGCATGACATGAGAAGTGGAATCTGATTGGTCAATAGGAGGGAGATAGAAGGGACTTGACTCGTAATAGCCACTGTTGGCGCTATGATCGAGCCCCGAAAATTCTTGTGAAATTTATTCTCAACTTTTAGGTACTTTACGTCTTGTAATACCAGATCAGGGCAGTCAAAGCTTCTGCTCTCTATTTACTTATGTGACTTGAAGATTAGAAAAAATACAATTTATCCAAAGGTTCAATCTCATTAAAATCAGATCTAAGTTCTTGCTGCCACAAAACAAAGATCTGAGGACATCCAATTACGGGTCACATCAGAACGACCTTTCACAAACTTTGACCGACCACTGAAATGACTAACAAGAAGTCGACATCAGTCAATTAGAAAGCAGCTTTCTCGAGCTTTTCCCTCGTTTCAATCTGGCTATTTCCATTTCAGACTATGCTTGAAAAATATGTTGACGCAGTTCTCGATTAAAATTTTGAAAACTGAACAAACGAACATTCCGGAATGTCTAATATATGGTTGAGATTGTATAGCAGTGCTTCCTACAAACTGTTAAACACCTCCTCTGTTCAAATGTTTATCCAACTGAAGCGAGAGATAGACACTAATTTTGACGGAATGGGTCGTAACTGTCATTCGGAATACCCTGTGTTGATGTTTTCGATGTTGCATGATTAGAAAACACATTCCGACTGTCACTTTCATGATCTGGTAAGAGACGCTCTAATTGGTCGGATGAAAGCTCGTTCTGACATGACCTGTAATGGGATGTCCTCAGATCTTTGTTTAGCGATAGCGAGAACTAAGATCTTATTTTAATGTGATTGGTTGACACAGTTCTCAATTAAAATTTTGAAAACGGAACAAATGAACATTCCAGAATGTCTAATACTAGTATATGGTTGAGATTGTATGGCAGTGCTTCCCATGTACTGTGCAACGCCTCCTCCACAGACAGAATCTGTTTTATAGGCCGTAACTGTCGTTCAGAATACCCCGTGTTAACATTTTGAAGGTTACATGATCAGAAAACACATTCCAACTGTCAATTTCATGATCTGGGAAGCGACGCTTTGATTGGTGAGATGAAAGGTAATGGGATGTCCTAAGATCTTTGTTTAGCAATAGTGAGAACTAAGATCTGACTTTAATGAGATTGTCCAAATGTTATATGTGTTTTCAAGATATCCAATTCCCATGTGGGGATATTGGAATATCAGAACTAGTCCCGAACACACCATGCTGTCTAAAGAGGGGACCAAATGGATCAAGTGGTCCGACTCAATGACTTGGTTGATTGCATGTCACCATCTCTGGCAGCATAGATCATTGCGCTTGTAGCATGGTGTCTTCCCACATGACATCCTTACCTTGTCAACCCGTGAAGATCTTTGGGTAGAATAGGTCTTCAACAGCCCATGCTTGCTGTAAAAGGCGACTATGCTTGTTGTAAGAGGCGACTAACGGGATTGGGTTGTCAGGCTCGCTGACTTGGTTGATGCATGTCATTGTATCCCAATTGAAGGGATCGATGCTCATGATGTCAATCACTGGATTGTCTGGTCCAGACACGATTATTTACAGACTGCCATCATATAGCTGGAATATTGCTGAGTGAGGCGTTAAACAACAAACAAACCTCTCCTTGTCCGATTGATGTCGGGGTTAACCTCTTGCATCATGTGGACAAGGCGTCGGATCTCTAATCAGAAGGTCCGTAGTTTGAATCCAATCACAGGACTCATATATTTTATGGCAGTTACACTCACAATATCATTCATTGGACTATCTAGTCCAGACTGCCATGATGTACAACCCACTGTCATAAAGCTGGAATATTGCTGAATGCGGCTTTAAAAAAACAACCAAAATACCAAAACAAATCAGGATTCATTTCAGGAAATTGCGAGATCGGAATTCAAACATTTCGCAATGGAACTTCAAGGGATGTTTGTGTGATTTATTTACTATTATCATATATGTATATATGACTTGCCCACTATGGTGTGTGCGTGCGTGCGTGCGTGCGTGCGTGTCAGTGTTGAACAGGAGTAAAATAAAATTACTGATGCCATGAATAAATGGGTGAGTATGGTTTTATGCCGCTTCTAGCGATATTCCAGCAATATCACAGTGGGGGACACCAGAAATCGGCTTCGTTTATTGTACCCATGTCGGGAATTGAACCTGGGTCTTCGAGTGACAAGTGAAGGCTTTAACCACCAGGTTACCTGACCCCCTCTCCATTAATAAATGCCCTCCTTTGTAAACATTTTCCTATAGTATAGTTATGAATACTAGTTGCTGCTTGGTTCAGTCTTGTAGCATCTGCTGCTTGTTTCAGGTACATGAAGGGCCGACTCACGTACAACCAACTGAATGGTGTCATTGATGACTTGAACAAAACCTTCCTGGCCAAGTACAAGATTCTCAAGATGAAGAGATCCAAGCTGTCGGATGTCAACAGAAAAAGATACGAGTCTTTCAAGTTGCAGGAATCCAAAGATAGTAAAGGTATTGTTTCTTTGCTATCCCATGGTGTACTTTCTATTTCAAGGAATGATTTCCTATGATTGATATGATCATGTTATTTCACAAAACAACAGTGCATTGTGTCCTAGTGGGCAAGTCAGGTTTGATGAATGACTTGTTTGTCAGTTCTGTCATCATGGTCATTGGCGCCGCCTCTGTGGTCTAGTTGTAGACCATCCCCCTGGAAAGCAGAAGCTTCGATCCCCGGCGGCTTTATACCAAAAGACGTTAAAAGATGGTACTTGTTATTTACCCTGCCTTGCGCTCGGCATTAAGGGACTAAAACAAGGACTGTCGGCTCGGAGTCAGTATACTGTGTCTGAGTGGGGTATTCATTTTAAACTGCGGCACAGTATCTCAGTGGGGAGCACTATATATCGGCATCAGTCCAGACTAGTACGAGCAGCCACACACACACGTCGCTATAAGAGTGCTATAAACTTGGACACAACTTTAAACTAAACCCCATTTCACCTCAAGGTCATTGGGATTGTGTTCACCTAATAACTTTGTTACAATTTTTTTCCAAATTGAACTGCAAACATTAATCCAGAAATTGGTTCATGTGGAATCAAATGGTGAAATCGGTACGTGACCGTATAAGAACAATGAACAATTAAGAAAATATATTGAAACATAATTGTAGGTTTGCAATCACAAAAGGGGTCTAGGGGGTCTGTTGTTGAGAGAGGATTTTCATATTTTTGACCCCTCACTTTTAAAAATGCTAGATCCGCCCTTGTAACAACTTGTATTACTTCAATAATAATTTATGACCAGATAAATTTGAAATGATCAGTTTATGCTGGTGCTCAGAGTATTGAGTCATACGTGATAACCTGACATATCATTGCAGATACATATTTTGTTGTGGAGGGAGATTTGAAGGAGTTTGCCAAAATGAAGATGGACGCGACGTCCCGAGCCATGTTGACAGTGTTACGCCACTGTGGACGAATGAGGGAAATTCGTGGTGGGGGAATCACCCGCTTCGCCATGGTGGAGATGTATTAGTCGACTTGTAGACAGGACATGCTTCACCTAACTTGTGATAATTTACAGCTAACCACCTATTTATTTGTATCACTGCTGTCTTTGAACAATCAGAGACTCAATGAATATTCAAAATTAGAAGTGTGTTATTGGATGTTGAGGCATTGAAATGTGATGCTGACAGGGACATGTCATTGATGCTGGGATATGGTTATGTTTCCATGAATTCTTTCCTCCCTGAAGCCTTCAAAGCCATGTCAGGGCCAGTAGGGTAGCCTTGTGGTTAATGTGTTCATCCGTCAGTACGGATTTACAGTAAATAAAGAAGTTGTTATCCATAAATTGTCATCTTCTAAGTAATACAGGGATCTGGTATCTTATTTTGTCTGGTTTTATGCATCTATGTCTGATACATTTATCCAAGCTAGTATTGTGTGGTGCAACTTGTGTTCATGTCAACATGCGTCTGGTACAAGTTAATCAAATGCGCTCAATCAAGCCCTGGTGCAGTCTTTGTTGTGAATATTGCCTACACTTGCAGTGTGACAAATGTCCAACACATGATGTTTGTACAGTCGAGGTCCAGGTGGCCTGTAGGGCCTGTAGGTCAAAAGCATCGCAGTTGGCTGGGCAGAGTTGTGTCCCTTAGATGTAGAAGAATCCGATGGTCATTAGTTGAATCCAAGATTTGTCTTGATTGTAGCTTAAGGTGGTCGGCACCATATCTGAGGGGTTCACCAAAATGGTAAAGATCTAGGACCTACATCTCACGGGGACTCTCTCTTTGTTGTCTTATGTATGAAAATTACTTTACCAAGAAATATAATAAGATCGTTAATATTTTAGCCACTTTTAATATGTGATTTTTGTAATTAAAACATTTTACCAACCTTGCACTATTTTATTTTTCTGTATTTTTGGGTAGCCCATTGGGTCAAGCATTCACTCGTCACACCAAAGACCCGGGTTTGAATCCCCACAAGGGTACAATATGTGAAGCCCGTTTCTGGTGTCCCCACCATGATATTACGGGAAAATTGCTAAAAGTGGTAAAAAACCATACTCACACTCGGTTATTTGGGAGCTAAACATTCCACAAGACTGACAGAAATAGTGTGTGCCATTGTCACAGGTGTGGTGCATGCTGGTTACGGGAACATTCATCATGAGCAGATCGTGTGTATACAGATCTTTACATTACAAAAATAACTCTGTTCCAGGAAATTGAAATGTTTGTTTGATTGTTTGTTGTTTAATTTTTCTGTATTTTTGGGTAGCCCATTGGGTCAAGCATTCACTCGTCACACCAAAGACCCGGGTTTGAATCCCCACAAGGGTACAATATGTGAAGCCCATTTCTGGTGTCCCCACCATGATATTACGGGAAAATTGCTAAAAGTGGTAAAAAACCATACTCACACTCGGTTATTTGGGAGCTAAACATTCCACAAGACTGACAGAAATAGTGTGTGCCATTGTCACAGGTGTGGTGCATGCTGGTTACGGGAACATTCATCATGAGCAGATCGTGTGTATACAGATCTTTACATTACAAAAATAACTCTGTTCCAGGAAATTGAAATGTTTGTTTGATTGTTTGTTGTTTAACACCACAATCTGCCATATTCCAGCTATATGACGGCGGTCTGTGAATAATCGAGTCAATCAGAAAATCCAGTGATTAACATCATGGGCATCGATCCACGCAATTGCAATACGATGACATGCATCAACCAAGTCAGAGAGTCTGACCACCCAATCCCGTTAGTCGCCCCTTACGACAAGCATGGTCGCCTTTTACGGCATGATCTTCACGTCTGCAGATAGGATATCATGCATCAAACAACCCTTGGGAATTGTGTGTTAGAATAGCACCCACCTACCAACCTAGCTGCCAGTAGCTGGTAAACGCATCTGGTGGTCAGGCTCAGTTACTTGGTTGATACAAAGCCATCTAATTCTTACAAACAAGGAGTGTACATCATCTTCTGGGGGCAAGGGAGTTACCTGACTTTCAAAGTCCAGTTTCCACTCCCTTGGTGGATAAGCATGATAAGGGATGGAAGAGCTTCTTGGTTTTATACAGAGCTGTGAACAAGCTATACAACGGCTATGACATACGATGTCTGTATATGTGTTTGTATGAATTATTATGTTTTGTCATTTAAATATTGCATAGTTCCGTAATGAAATGTTTTCTGCAATAAATATTATCCTACCTTATTTTACGAATGAAGCGCACTAGTCGGACACGTTGAGTTAGGAAGCGGGCGTAAAATGACCAGATATACCGCACCGACCACAGAGTGCGTGAATACCAGCTGTCTATCGATATATTTGTCACCCCGAACGGACGGGTCAGCCACTGACCCCTGGATGACGCACGCCGCAGCTTGATATATAGTCATACTCATCTTATAATATAGCCCACCCTTAAACTTGCAAACATATGTTGAGGTATTTATACTTACGGAAAAATGTTACTGTGCTTCCTATAAAGTGGTGTAAATGTTATGATATAGAAATTAGGTTGATACAGGGGCGGCACATTAAAGACACCAGATGATTGAACTGAGCTGGTCCTGGTCCTGTCGTAGACGTCCATCCATCTCATGCCAGACATGTTCTGTTGGGGAGATATCTAGAGAAACAGCCGGCCATGACAGTACAGCAATGCAATGCTGCCTCAAAATGTATGTTACAACACATGCAACACGTGGGCGTCTATTAGTCTATTATCCCGCGTCCCTGCATTTGCACAAAGGGTGGAACCTGTACGAACTCGAACCATGTCGTTCCGGTAGCATACGCCGTTCTCGCATGAGTTGTTATGCCACCCCCTACCATTACACTTCCACCCCAAAACTGACGACGTTGAGTATAAACGCAAGCGTCTCTGAAGCCTTTTCCGAGGCGTCTGTAGACCCTTGCACGACCATCAGACCTATCCAGATGAAACCTGGACTCACCTGTGAAAAGAATACTGTTCCAGCCTTGTCTTCTGAACATCAGATTCTGTCCACACTAGGCGTGCCTGACGGTGACGTAGAAGCAAAATCGGGCGTATCGCCGGATGTTGCGCTCCCTCATCCGTTTGTGTACGGTTCTGCCACTAATTCTCAACCACATCAATTGTCCTAGCTGGGTTTTTTTTGCTGAGTATACACAGTCCGATGACTGCGTCTTTCTGTTTCCTTTTTGCCTTGAGCACAGTCTTTCTGCGCTTTACTTGCAAGTTTCCCCTAGCTTTCCTTCTAACTACACTTAGTATTTTCACATCATTCTAAGGAAGGCCATCTTTAGTATCCCGCTCGAACAGCAACACCAGCAGCCCTCCCGAGTATTATGGCCTTTGGCGGGCTGCTTTTCATGGGGAGTTATGCCGTCATTAACTGTTACTGACAACGCTTGTCCGTCTGACAGGTACTTCTTGGAATGTTCTCCTTCTTTCGGAGCTGGTTCATCATCCCCTTTCCTGACAGACGGGATGTCGGCTACACAGGACAGATCTTGCCCTCTAGAACGTATCATACGGCTGGTATATTGGCGATGTACCTCTGACTATTAACTAACTCACTCTTGTTCACAACTCGTTCAACTGACAGATTGAGAGAGCGTGTCTTGGTCTTGGTCTGCCTGCATCCACCCTGGGTCCACACTGGCGGGGATACTAAAACACGACGGATTCCGGGGAATAATCACCAGACGCCGATCTGAGTGAGTACGGTTTTAGGCCGCTTTTAGCAATATTCCAGCAATATCACGCCGGGGGACACCAGAAATGGGCCTCACACATTGTACCCACAAGGGGAATCGAACCCGGGTCTTTGGCGTGACGAGTGAACGCTTTAACCCCTAGGCTACCCACTGTCCCTGATCTGATGACGCAAAAACTATTATGACTTCACAGAAACAGACGGTAGTGCGTTTAGATAAAATAGGCAATTTCCTCTAAAAACTCTAATAATTTAGAAATAATTAGGTATAATAAAAAGTAGGTTTCTGTGACAATAAGAAACCCATCTTTTCTAGCGATAGGGATTGTTCATGGCCGACAATGAGATTTGTATCCATTATCCAGAGGGTAGAGGGAACGTCTTCCTAGCCATGATAATCACGGTGAAACCTTGCACATCAAATCAGGGAAATCTTGTCTTATTATCATGCACACTTCCCGACGAGACCCCACACAGAAGAAGGAACATTATTTACTTTGGCATGGTTTTATTGCATTACAACAAAGTATACAAAACTCGGTCGTGGTTACAGGAATAAAACATTGGATTTCTATACATGTCGTATATTAACTTTAGCAACACAAGACAAGACTAATCATGCGTGTAACTAACCCACGATCACGGTGTGTCTAATGTTGATATAGCTGGGTATTCTGTATTTACAAAGACGGGATTTGTTTTTGTATTTATAAGATTGTTTAGTTTTTACGCAAACACGTTAATGACATCAAAACACAGACCCAGACACGCAACCACTGAAGCATGGCGGGGTGAGGTGTCTGAGTGCACGTGTACCAGTCACCCCTTAACACACGTGTTAACGGCTACTACATCACTCAGTTGTATCTGTGTTTGTTTGTTTGTTTGTTGTTTAACGCCGCACTCAGCAATATTCAAGCTATATGACGGCGGTCTGTAAACAATCGAGTCTGGACCCGACAATCCAGTGAATGATATCATGAGCATCGATCCATGCAATTGGGATACAATGGCATGCATCTGTGTGTGTAGTCGCTTGATTTGTCGCCCTATTGATGGGATGTCGTACTGGAGACGGATCACTTCTAAACACACGATCAACACTATGGCACTTGTGAGACGATGAATTCCAATTATTATTACTGATAGAACAGGAACGCAATTTCTAGTCTATTTACAAACAGTGTCATCATAAAGGCCTTTCAGTTGATGGCAACAGGGTCTCTTCCTTGTTGTAGCTGCAGATCCTAAGTTGCACATTAATTAGCCTCAACACATGCAGGGGGCACGGGTGGCCCGGTCGTCTAGGTTGTCTAAGGCGCCGCGATTCGCTGTGTAGAGTTGCGTCCCTTGGGTACGCCAGAAACCTGTGATCGTGGGTTCGAATCCCGGTTTTGCCCCGTTTATACTTCTAGGTTTGTCAGCACCATACCCGTGCTCGTGGGTTTCACCGAAGTCGTTAACGTCTAAGACCTGCATCACTTCGGGCTTTCCTCCCACATTAATCTGACACGCAGTGATATAACAGGAATACTGTTAAAAGCGGCGTTAAACCAACTCACATCACCATGCCATATCCAATCTGGAGACAAAACACTGAATGTTCCTTACTGTTTCTAAATTTACAATATATCAAGGTACACATTATACCGGACACCTATCCGCCATGTTTGTTTGATGCCACTGATAAAGCCCCACGCGACAGCACCACTATTTGAAAAATATGGCGATAAAGCTCAAAATAAGCAGAAAAATGACCCCTATACATTTGTATGGTTTAATATGAGCAAGCGCCTCCAAACCTATTTTTTAGCGAGGCGAGAAAAATGACGTCTGAAAATACTTAGAAACCCTCACTGAGGAACGAGCTCGTTTACATCCCTTACCAAAATGGCGGAAAGTGTCCCGTATACTGCATTCTTGTCTACTTTAAACTCCAAGCTGAACAATCCATCATTAATTGTGTAACTAAGCCAACTTCGAGATAAAGATCCAAGATGCATATATAGTATCACCAATACACATGTTCGACATATGTGAGTGTTAATTTGAGATAAAACGGTGTTATTCAGACATAGTACCGCAGCTTGGACTATATAGGTATATAGGTATTTTCGAGATTACCTTGACTAACATCTAGTCTCTGAAATGAACATATCGTACAGAAAAAACCCAGTTGTTCAGTTATCATCTTAATAAAAATATAATAAAAAGGACCCCAGTGACTCTCTTCATTTTCAGATACTGCAGTGATCTAGGCTTGCCAAACATGATAGACTTGCATGGGCTGTATTTGATATATATTTGTAACAGGGTCTGTAAGACAGACCAGAGATTACCGAGTTTCAGATATGAAGGACTGTCTCTCAAAAATCAAAATCATATCGAGTACACTCGCTGTGGTTTAATATGACAGGAACGATTGTTGTATCTAAGCACTTAATTAGTGATTCATAACATTACCTTAATATATACAAAGAAATTATGATATTGAAAGAGTCACGTGGTTACGGTCACGTGTTCCTTGCTGTTGGTGTCGCGGCACGTGGTGTGGACGCACTTCCTGTAAATGACGTCAAGCCGGTTGACGACCGCCGGAAACACGGCGAGGTTGACTCTGAAGAAGCCGTTGAAGGGGTTGTCAAGGTCGGCGATGACGTAACAGAGCATGGAGATGGAAATGACGGTGATGATGCACATGGACAGATCCATCCCATAGGACTGAGTCTGTACCAGCAGCATGGCCATGAAGTTGAAGTACCCCAGCGTCTCCAGAACTCCCCACCTGGAAGACATCAAAACCTTTAGTTGTATCCGTGTCCTTATGCATCGACGCACCCTCCAATACGCCGTGTTCTCATATGTCTATTTAGTATGCCTGAAAGTGAGATTGACCAATCAGAGAGCAGAACTACTAACCCCCATATAAGCCCGTATACCATCAGTAAAAATCCAAGATGGTTGTTACTGACCTAATTTGAGACCGTATACCGTCAGTGACAGCCATCTTGGATTTTCCAACACCCACCTCACATATTTCACATGACAATTCTGGTACAGAAATTCGTTATCGAAACTGTTTTCTTCTTTTAATATGATTAATTAGGATGTGCAAGGACGTTAATGTTTTTTTATCACGTTCGTGATTTTGATTGATAAAGATTATAGTTAAAGTTAACAACAAGGTTTGGCCTCTGAGGTTTGAAGAGTAGTCTCCCTTGACCCTTATCATCAACGGTTGTGTCAAGTTTTGACTTGACATGTACGATATGGATACCAGCTAGTGGAAACTTTTCGGCAATATAAATTCGCTACGGGCGTCGCCCAATATTTTTCTGCTAACCTCATATGACATATGACATAAACTGTGATATATAAACTATCTGTGTAGTTTATATATCACAGGGTAATTGTGTCAGTTCCGGCCAAAGTGTGACATCTCATGTAAGATATGTATTTGTTGTATATTGATGCCATCATTTTTATTTTATTATTTATGGTTTCCACTGTATCATGGGACCAATACCGGTCTTTCTGTGTGCCTGAAACTGAGCCAAGCCATGTGTAACATTGGTCACAGAAAGTCACGTGAGGACACGATATATGTTTACAGTTTCTGTGAGATTCACTTACCTCTAAGTATGTCTAATTCAAAGAGAAGAATCAAATTCTTTGAGTTTGTTATTGACACTGCCTGTCCATGTTACTTGAGCAGTGATAGTGACTCTCTTAGACTATCCTCGCCCTATACCGTCTCAACCCAGCTCTTCACTCATCACAGTGATAGTGACTCTCTCAGACTATCCTCCCCAACCCCCACCCACTCTATATCGTCACAGCCCAGCTGTTCACCCATCACAGTAATAGTGACTCTCTTAGACTTTCGTCCCGAGCTGCCACAACCCAGCTGTTCACTCACCACAGTAATAGTGACTCTCTCAGACTATCCGCCCCTCGCTGTCACAGCCCAGCTGTTCCCTCATCACAGTAATAGTGACTCTCTCAGACTATCCGCCCCTATCTGTCACAACCCAGCTGTTCACTCATCACAGTGATAGTGACTCTCAGACTATCCGCCCCTCGCTGTCACAACCCAGCTGTTCACTCATCACAGTGATAGTGACTCTCTCAGACTATCCGCCCCTCGCTGTCACAGCCCAGCTGTTCACTCATCACAGTGATAGTGACTCTCTCAGACTATCCGTCCCTAGCTGTCATAGCCCAGCTGTTCACTCACCACAGTGAAAGTGACTCTCTCAGACTATCCGCCCCTATCTGTCACAACCCAGCTGTTCCCTCATCACAGTGATAGTGACTCTCTCAGACTATCCGCCCCTAGCTGTCACAACCCAGCTGTTCACTCATCACAGTGATAGTGACTCTCTCAGACTATCCGTCCCGAGCTGTCATAGCCCAGCTGTTCACCCATCACACTGATAGTGACTCCCTTAGACTATCCGCCCCTATCTGTCACAACCCAGCTGTTCACTCACCACAGTGATAGTGACTCTCTCAGGCTATCCGCCCCTCGCTGTCACAACCCAGGTGTTCACTCACCACAGTGATAGTGACTCTCTTAGACTATCCGCCCCTATCTGTCACAACCCAGCTGTTCATCCATCACAGTGATAGTGACTCCCTTAGACTATCCGCCCCTATCTGTCACAACCCGGCTGTTCACTAACCACAGTGATAGTGACTCTCTCAGACTATCCGCCCCTCGCTGTCACAACCCAGCTGTTCACTCACCACAGTGATAGTGACTCCCTTAGACTATCCGCCCCTATCTGTCACAACCCAGCTGTTCACCCATCACAGTGATAGTGACTCCCTTAGACTATCCGCCCCTATCTGTCACAACCCAGCTGTTCACTAACCACAGTGATAGTGACTCTCTCAGACTATCCGTCCCGAGCTGTCACAGCCCAGCTGTTCACTAACCACAGTGATAGTGACTCTCTCAGACTATCCGTCCCGAGCTGTCACAGCCCAGCTGTTCACTCATCACAGTGATAGTGACTCCCTTAGACTATCCGCCCCTCGCTGCCACAACCCAGCTGTTCACCCATCACACTGATAGTGACTCCCTTAGACTATCCGCTCCTATCTGTCACAACCCAGCTGTTCACTCACCACAGTGATAGTGACTCTCTCAGGCTATCCGCCCCTCGCTGTCACAACCCAGCTGTTCACTCACCACAGTGATAGTGACTCCCTTAGACTATCCGCCCCTATCTGTCACAACCCAGCTGTTCACCCATCACAGTGATAGTGACTCCCTTAGACTATCCGCCCCTATCTGTCACAACCCAGCTGTTCACTAACCACAGTGATAGTGACTCTCTCAGACTATCCGTCCCGAGCTGTCACAGCCCAGCTGTTCACTAACCACAGTGATAGTGACTCTCTCAGACTATCCGTCCCGAGCTGTCACAGCCCAGCTGTTCACTCATCACAGTGATAGTGACTCCCTTAGACTATCCGCCCCTCGCTGCCACAACCCAGCTGTTCACTAACCACAGTGATAGTGACTCTCTCAGACTATCCGTCCCGAGCTGTCACAGCCCAGCTGTTCACTAACCACAGTGATAGTGACTCTCTCAGACTATCCGTCCCGAGCTGTCACAGCCCAGCTGTTCACTCATCACAGTGATAGTGACTCTCAGACTATCCGCCCCTATCTGTCACAACCCAGCTGTTCACTCACCACAGTGATAGTGACTCTCTCAGACTATCTGTCCCAAGCTGTCACAACCCAGCTGTTCACTCACCACAGTGATAGTGACTCTCTATATATTATATATATTTCAGATGCAATTATAAGCACATCGGAAGGTGCTGAATTATACAGTATGATTGAACAAATGTAACTGTGCCTAAGGTATATTTTTAGATGCAAGATATATGTAAAATCGAAATTTATTTCTGAGGGATTCTTTGACGAAGAACTTGCAATCATACGCGCTTTCTAATTGGTTTGTCTTATTTTCGCACATAACATTCATCGATAGGGGATGCGAGTCTTCTTGCTGGTTACGGAAAGGGGCGAGTGGTGACGAATGGCTTTGGAAGCTTATGCAACGTTTTGTTCGGTAAAGCTCGGTTATGTTCGGTTACGTTCGGTTCTGTGGCACGATTCCGTACGTGGTCTATCTTGCTTATACAAAAGGATATGACGCCTCAGGTCTTTTTGTGCTTGAGATATCTTAACCAAAGAAAATCGTACTTGTCTCTTTAAAATCAATCTCATTTCCAGCGAAATAGCAACCCTCAGAATAGATCACAGAGCTCATAGTTTGAGTCCGGTTTTGGCTGCAATAAGCGAACTACATATTGCACACAAAATACAATCTGTTCTTCCTGTTGACTGAATAGATACTCACAACTAATTGAAGTCATGCCACCATTGGTTGGAAACACTCAATATTAGGTACTCAATCTTCGTACCTTATGGTATTTACACATCCGTTAACAAAGTCTCGCCAATAAAGTACCACTCTTCCACGGAGGGTACCAATCCTCCTATAGACTAACATTTAGTCTCTGAAATCTTATATTACACAATATCCTTCTTGACTATATAAACAAATTCCCTATGCTGATTTCAGAGTGCGGAATAGAGCTAGCTTGAGCTGGCTAGACTTGCTTTTGTATGCATTTCTAGATTATTTTTTTCATAAAATAAATAGATTCCACGGTCATGGTGCAGGACCACTCCTCCTACTGGAGGTACTACTCCTCCTACTGGAGGTACTACTCCTCCTACCGATCACAGTGTCAGCGATGATGATACAAGCCGGGAGGCAGTCGCGCACTGATCCAAGTAGACCGAACGATGGCAGAATATTGACGAATCGTATAGGATTGCAAGTCATTTTGCAATATAGATATTCTGTTGTGGAGTCTTTTATTGTTTGTTTCGATAATCTAAGGACATAAGGGATTCTGTACCAGAAATGTAACACTGAAAACCTTTTAGCCCGAGTACTATTCCAGGGCCGAGTCTTTGTTGCGTTCAATAGAGGTAGCCATCGTCAACTGACACCCACGAGTCATGTTTGTTTACTAATAATCAGATACTAAAGTGGGTACAGGGAAATTACTCTCATGAACCATCAAACATGTCACATATTTAGAATGCTTACAACCCAGCTGTTCACCCAGCACAGTAATAGTGACTCTCTCAGACTATCCGCCCCCAGCTGTCACAACCCAGTTGTTCACCCAGCACAGTAATAGTGACTCTCTCAGACTATCCGCCCCCAGCTGTCACAACCCAGCTGTTCACCCAGCACAGTAATAGTGACTCTCTTAGACTATCCGCCCCCAGCTGTCACAACCCAGCGGTTCACTGAGCACAGTTATAGTGACTCTCTCAGACTATCCTCCCCCCCCCCCCCCCTCCCCCCCCCCCCCCCCCCTCTATACGGTCACATCCCAGTTGTTCAGCCATCACAGTAATAGTGACTCACTTAGACTATCCTCGCCCTATACCGTCTCAACCCAGCTGTTCACCCATCACAGTGATAGTGACTTTCTTAGACTGTCCTCGCCCTATACCGTCTCAACCCAGCTGTTCACCCATCACAGTGATAGTGTCTCTTTTGGACCGTCACGGTGAACAGCGAACACTGTGTTGCAGGGGTGTGCGCTCCTCGGGTTTATTAACCTTCTGGCGCCGATTGCGTGAGTCGAATACAACTATGTCCAATGTGTTCCGCCAGTCCCAGTACTAATGCCATTAACCAATAGTTCAAGTCCCAGAACTAATGTCATTAACCAATT